TCTGCCCCTCCCCCGTTCACCCGTTCATGCTCTGTCTCTCTCTGTCCCCAAAATAAATAAACGTTGAAAAAAAAATTAAAAAAAAATATTTTATTTGAATATTTAGCCAAAATAAATACTACTTTTCCAAGTACTCCATTTTTAATTTTTCTTATCATAGTTACTTATAAATAAAATGTAGTAATTTATTTTTACCTAGTTTCTCATAATTTTACCCTAGTGTATTCTGTGAATGTGACTTAATCTTTGTGCTGTGATATTAAAAAGTTGGGAACCAGTAGGAATTACTAGCTTATCTAAAAAAGGAAATAAGGGGTGCCTGGGTGGCTCAGTTGGTTAAGCATCTGACTTTGGGTCAGGTCATGATCTCATGGTTCATGGGTTCTGTGCTGTTAGCTCAGAGCCTAGAGCCTGCTTCAGGTTCTGTGTCTCTCTAACCCTCCCCCGCTCACGCTCTTGTTTCTTTCTCAAAAATAAATAATAAACATTAACATTTTTTTTTAAATAAAAAGGGAAATAAAATGTTATCTTAGAAAATAGGAGGAGTTTGTTAGGTTGGATTCCCCGAGAAATAGACATTAAGGCAAGGATTTGAGTATGTCATTTAGGATTTGATCCCAAAAAGTACCAGTAGGGGAGTGGAGAAGCAAGGCTGGGGTGGGAAGTAAGCCAGTGTGCAGGCTGCGCCTCAGGGCATCTGGGGTTTAGTCTTGCTGGAGAGCCTCTGGGAGACAGTGCTCTACATACTTCAAAGTTGTTTCATCCTGAGGTGAGGAAACAAGTTTACCCACCCACTTCCTTACATTATTCACAAGTGCTCGCAGGGGCATAGATCCCCTCATTTCTGGCCTATAGGCAGTTAGGAAAGGCTCTTGGGGCTAGAGGAAGCCTGCAGGCAGAGTTGTGGATGCTTGCAGTGAGAAGTTTTTGGATATATGAAACATGCAGCTAAGTTTCTGTAGCTCACTAGGTTTGTTCCTATCCCCCACTAAGTGTCTTCTTATTTGGCATCTGACCTAGGCCTGCCCCCAGAGAAGAAAATGTCTTGTCCAGATGATGCTGCCTCCAAAATATCTCTTGAATCAGTATACCTTTTTCCTCATGTCCAGGCTGTGAACATCCTTTGCACTACATCACTATATTCCTAACTGCTGTCAGCCTTTCTGTTCTTGCCCTACCCCCACCCCATCCATTCTTCCTCACAGCAGCCACAACATCCAATAAAACAAAAATCAAATAATATTATTCCCCAGGCCAACTCTTCAGGGGTTTTTCATTGAATATAGGACAAATCCACATACAGTTCCTAAATGGTTTACTATCTGACCCTGGCTCAGATCTCACCATTTCCTTTCACTGTCTACTCTTCAGCTCCACTGGACTTCTGTCATGTCTGAAAGAATGTGCTTAAGGACTGCTGTAGGGCTTTTGTATATTGCTCTTTTTTTCAGTCTAGATCATAGACCTGGAATATTCTTCTATCAAGTCTTCACTTGTCTGTTTTCTTTAAATCTTTCTGAGCTTGGTTTATATTCTTTTCCTCAGATTGGTCTTTTCTGACACCCCTCCCAATCTCCTCCTACACTACCCCCCCCAAAAAAAACCCCTAAAAACAGAATGAAGTTTCCTAGTTATATCTTCTCCCAGGATTCTGTACTTTTCCTTCTGAGCAGATCTGTGGAGCAGACCGCTGCAATGTCCCCAGGTTGGTCCTCTGGCTCCAACTGCCTTTCCATGAGACTAGGATTCTCAAAGAAAGAAGGGCCCTCAGGGACCAGACAGGTTATATAAATGTGTGGGTGGAGACAGTGGCAAACTGGGGAGCACATGGTGGTCACTAACAGTTCTGGCTACTTTTTACTGTAATTTGCTGGATTAAAAAAAATTTTTTTTTCCCCAAAACACCAAGAATCCTGATTTTCATGCAAGATCTTTCAATTTCTAACTGTTGGAATTAAAAAATAATTAAAACCCCTGAGCAGAATAGCCAAAATGATCTTGAAGAAGAACAAAGTTGGAAGTCTCACACTCCTGATTTCATAAGTTATTATGAAGCCACAGTAATCAAAACAGGTGGTACTGGTATAAAGACAGACATAGAGCATAATGGAATAGCATAGAGAAGCCAGAAGTAAACTCTTACATATATGGTCAAATGATTTTCAGTAAAGGTTTCAAGACCGTGCAATGGGGAAAAGACAATTTTTTCAACAGATGGTGTTAGGAAAACTGGTTATCCACATGCAAAAGGATGAAGTTGGAGCCTTACCTTACACCATGTAAAAAGTGATCTCAAAATGGATCAAAGATCCAAATATAAGACCTAAAACTATAAAACGGGGAAATCTTTGAATGATTCTGGATATGATACCAAAAGCACAGGCAGCAAAAGTAAAAATAGATAACTTGGACAACATCAAAATAACAATATTTCTGTGCATCAAAGGACATAATCAATGGAGTGAAAAGGCAGTGTATGAAATGGGGAAAATATCTGCAAATAATATATCTGACAATGGATTAATATCGACTATAAAAAGAACTCCTATCATGCAACAACAACAAAATAGCTTGATTTAAAAATGGGGGCCCGAGAAAGAAGAAAAAAATGGGCAAATTGACTTGAATAGACATTTCTCCAGAGAAGATATATAAATGACCAACAAACCAAAAAGGTGCTCAACGTTATTAATCATTAGAGAAATACAAATCAAAGCCACAATGAGATAGCACCTCCCACCCATTAGGATGACTGCTATTAAAAAAAACAAAACAAAACAAAACAAACCAGAAAATAACAAGTGTTATAAAGGATGTAGAGAGTTTGGAACACTGTGTCCAATGTAAAATGATGCAACTGTTATGGAAAACAGTATTTTGTTCCTCAAATCAAAAATAGAATTATCTTACAACACAGCAATCCCACTTTAGGGTGTATATCCAAAAGAATTGAAGGGAGGATCTTGGGGAAATATTTATACAATCATGTTCATAGCAACATTATTCATAATGGCCATAAGATGGGAACAATCCACACACCCAATGATAGACAAATAGATTGTAAACAAAGTGTGGTGTATACATGTAACAGAGTGTTATTTAGCCTTAAAATGGAAATTTTGACACATTACAAGTAATGAAATTTGAGGACATTATGCTAAGTGAAATAAGTCTGTCACAGAAAGATAAATACCGCATGATTTCACTTATGTGCAGTATCTAGAATGGTCACACTCATGGAAACCAAAAGTAAATTGGTGGTTGGCAAGGACTGGAAGAGGGGAAATAGTTGTTTAACATGTAGTTTTGGTTTTGCAAGATTAAAAAAGTTCTGGAGATACATTTAGTACAATGTGAATATAGTTAACACTACTGAGCTGTATACTTAAAAATGGCTTAGATGGTAAGTTTTATGTTATGTGTATTTTGCCACAATTAAGAATTTTTTTTTGAATTTGAAAAAAAAAAAAAAAAAAAAGCAAAGCCCTAAGCAGGCTCACAAAATTTATCATGATGTGCACTTTGAAGTGTTTGCCTTCTGACAGTGAATCTGTAACTTGATCATGCATCAGGATAACCTGGTGGGCTTGTTAAAACAGATTGCTGGGCCACACCCCTAAAGTTTCTGAATCTGTAAGCCTGGCGTGAAAGCCTGAGAATTTGCATTTCTAACAAGTTCCCTGGTGTTGTGAGGCTACTGCTACTGATCCAAGGATTACACTTTGATGGCCACTACATTAGATAGTGCCACAGACTGCAACTCTCTGTTAATTTCTATGTATCAGTTTGTGATACATCTTTGGTTCTGGGGTCTGTGAAAGTTGTGTTTGCCATGTCCTTGTGCCATGTGACCCTGCTTCTCTGGCCAGTAATATGCTATAGATGAAGGGCTAGACCTAATATACTGGGCATGGAAACTGCCCAGTTTTGCACAATATGTGGTATATAATCCAATTAGAATAATCCAATCCCATTTTGAATGTAAGACACACTAAGGCAGGTCAGGTAGAAGCTGAAGCTAAGAGAAGCTTAATTCTGAGGGAACTGGTCGGGTGACAAGAGCCACCTCATTTTACCTGGAGCAGTGTGAATCACATTCCGCCACCATGGGGGCTGTGTGGCCAAGATGCTTCTTGTGCTCGCCCACTTCCTGGGGTGACCTTAATATAAACCTGCATCTTCTCTGCTAAAAAAGAGGAAGTCTCTTTTCTGTGTTTCCTGGAAGACTCTCCCACCCTGTTTTGATAGTTTTGGTATCTTTATCATACTATTGACTCTGCTTTTCTATGGAAGGAAACAATCTTGATCAAGAAATGTGACTCCTTAAGCCTTGGTTTTTATTGAGGTTGAGAAAGATTATAAACTATGCCTTCACTCATAAGATAGGAATTTTTACATCTGCCAAAATGACTTCGAATAATTGCAATACGTGACTCTTAGGGAACATCCTGGAATTGCTATCAAAATCAGTTAACCCGTCTCATCCCAGCATCCTGCTTCTTGTCTCCTCTCTAATTGGCTGTCAGCTAGTTCATTTAGTGAAGCCAGCGTTAAAACAATCAGGTTTTCCGCACCGCTAGTTCCTCCAGCCCTTTCTCTCCAGAAAAGGGAGAAAGCCGGTTGCAGTTCTGAAAGGGGGCAGAGAAACAATGTCACGGCAGGTACTGTCTACAGCAGGAAAGATGGCCTTAAGGGTAGTGAGCTTCTGCTAACGAAGGGAGTGTCAAGATACTGCATCAGCTGCCTAGAAACGGCCACAGAGGGAATAGTTGTTTAAAGTCTCCCCGGACTCAGAGACTTGAGAGATGGTGACAGGGAAGAGATTCTCGCATGGATAGAGGCTGGCGGTGGTCGTCCGCAGAGGGATTATTGCTAGGAACCGCACTATGGCCTCCGTCCCAGGGGGGCCAATCGGAGCGGACGCTTCCGGGTCTGCGTTTTGGGCAAGACCCTTTCAGCCAATCTTTGTACAGGCACTGGTGACGTGACTCGTTGCTCTTAGGCTTGTCTCGTGACGTCATCCCACAGCGCCGGAAGTGGCGCGTCCCGGAAGAGAAACGTGAGGTTGTCTGTGTCCGCTGTTTCGAGGTAAGGCGGTCGTCGGCCTACCTCCTCTACTGACCCGGTTGAAATTCGTGGGTGTGGGCCCTGGGTCGGGGCCATTACTACCCTTGAATGATGTTCTTTGAATAACGCTTTTATGGCTTCTTTCCCGGCAGGCTTTGCTCCATCCTCGGGCTCTAGGCTTCTCACTTTGCTCAAACTCCCTTGGGCCGTTTTTCGGCGACCCCGTCGTTGGTCGTCGCCCCACCAACCTGTACCCCCGACACCTGTACTGGCTTGGTCACTACACAAGCAGAGAAAAGATTAGAGAGTGGGTACTGTCTAGCCCAAGGAGGCGGCTCGGCTTGTTAGGAAGGACATGGTTGCCTCCAGAAACTCTCCGTGAAAGGAACTTGAGGGGCCTTCACAGCGTCCTCAACAGGTCCAATAGGAGGGCCAATGGTAGTGGTTCAACAAAGCAGGGTTATAATTTCTACATGGAATCAATGTGGTCCAGGTTTAGAGCCTTTAGAGAGTCTAACTTACATTGGGAATCGTTAGAATACTTGAGACAGGACTGTACTTTACGGAGAGACAATACGGATTTGTGCCCTTCCACCTTAGTTGCACAGTCACTGCTGTCGGCCGATCTTTGTATACGTCCTTAGCCCCTGCTTTTATCCTGTCTTCAGTGTTCACCAGTGACAGGAGTGTTGAATGCTTTTGACCAGACAGTGAGCTTTACTCACTTCCTCGTTCAGTCTTCATGCTACCTCTGTGTTGTACAGCAAGTCTTAATGTTTTACAGCTGGAGAAATAAAGGCTTAGGTTAAATAATTGGCGTCAAGTCACACAGTGACTAGATCCTGCAACTCAGGCAGTTGCACATAAGAGGCTGGATGTTCTCCACTATGTTATATTGATTTTTTTTTTAAGTGTTCATTAAGCTCTCGAACACCTCACTCTGTTGTCTGCTATTTTATGGAGAAAATTGAGGTCATCGGATATGCTTTCCCTCAAATTTCTGCCCCTGCTTTCCCTTCTTGAAAAGTCATCTCATTTAACACCCATTTTTACCTTTCTTTTACTCTCAGAGGATAAGCTGTCTCTTCTGATCAAAGTGAATCCCATTATCTTTGCTTCTCACCTTTCGTTTATGTTTTCATCTATGAGACCTTGTTTTTATTTGTCTTTTCTGCCCCTGACTATGTCCTAGTCATATGTGAACATAAGTTTCTGAGATCCCTGGTCACCTGGCTTCTACCCTCCAAAGCTAGAAAGAAGGAAAAGTTCTTAGTGATCCGTCTTCCTTTAGCTCTCATCCAGTAAGTCTATTCCCCTTCTTTTTTAAAGAGTGTTCTAAATTCTGCCTCCATTTTCTTACCTTTCACTCCTTTCTCCAGTCTAGCTTTCAGACCTATCATTCTCCTGAAATTTTAACCTTAAGGTCACAGTGATTATCAAATCAGATAGATATTTTTCTGTCACTACTGGATCCCTTTGTTGCCTTTTTTTTTTTTTTTAATGTGTTTTAGTTTTGAGAGAGACAGAGCATGAGCGGAGGAGGGGCGGGGAGAGAGAGGGAGACACAGAATCCGAAGCAAGCTCCAGGCTTTGAGCTGTCCAGCACAGAACTGGACGCAGGGCTCGAACTCACTGTGAGATTGTGACCTGACTTATTCAATCAACAGATATTTATTATGATGCAGAGATGAGGAAGACAAAGTGCCTCCCCATTAGGAGCTTTCATTCTAGCTATTTCTCCATATGCTTCTCTCACCAGCCATTTCTCCTGTGGGCTAGTCTTTTTACTTCCTTCCCTAAAATTTTAGGTGCTTCCGAGGCTTGTGACTTTGGCCCACTTCTCTTTTCATTCTGTACACACTGTTTGAGTGAGCACATCAACTAGGTTGGTTTTAACTGCCTTCTACATGCTCCCAAATCAAAGTTGTCAGCTTAAACCTCTTTTCTAATTTTCCCTCTCACTTCTTACCACACTGCTCACTTCTCACCGCACTGCTGGACAGCTCTGCCTACCAGTTCCACAGACAGTTCAAATTCACAGGCCTGAAACTGAACTCAGTGTCTTCCCTGAACTTGCTCTTATCACATCCATACCTAAGTCCTGAGGATTTTATTCCCTAAGTATTTCTCAAATCTGTGCTCTTTTCTTCATCCCTATTATTGTACTACTTTAGGTACCATTACCTTTCACCTGAAATATGATGGCCTTCTGACTGATTTCCCCAACTCCAGTCCTTGAAAACAAATCTGTGACAAAGCCCTGCTTCATAATCTTTAAAGATCTGTCTGTTCATTCATCTGATCTTTTTTCTCATTCATTTAGCAAATATTTATTGTTTACTGAATTGCAAAATCCAGTGGAAGTTCTAAAGTTTGAACTCACCAGTCACCCAGGGCTCTGCTTATTCTGGACCTGCCTGTGTCTCTAGCCTCTTTTCTGCTTCATGCTTTAGATTGCAGCAACACTGAACTCCTTTTCATGTGCACTATGCTGTTTCTTAATGCATTACCCTTGCTGTTCCCTTTGACTTGAATCTTCTCCATTTCTCTATCCACTTCCTTCTCCCCTAATTAGAATGACCCTTTCACCAGTTAACTTAGTTTATATATAGGATTCATTTTAGGTCTGCCTCCTATAGGAAATCTTCCTTGACATCTCCTTTCTCCAAGTCTGTGTTGGGTATTCCAGCCTTTTGCTCCCATAATACTCTGCACAGACCAATCATTATACTTACTACAATTGTTGTAAGTGTTTTTGTGTTTCTCTCCCTCACAAGACTCTGAGCCTTTTGAAGACAGGAATGATATACCTGCATCATATGAGTGAGATACATTATTTCTTTATTCACAGTACTAGAATACCACAAGGCACATAGTAGGCATGCAGTAATTTTGATTGATCAAAAGAGTGAAGACAAAAGGTATATGGTGTAGTGATTAAGAAACCATTCTTTAAGAAAAAATTTTTTTAATGTTTATTTGTTTTTGAGAGAGAGAGAGAGAGACATAGTGTGAGCGAGGGAGGGGCAGAGAGAGAGGGAGACACAGAACCCGAAGCAGGCTCCAGGCGCTGAGCTGTCAGCACAGAGCCTGAAGTGAACTATGAGATCATGACCTGAGCTGAAGTCGGACATTTAACTGAGCCACCCAGGCGCCTCTGCCCCCTCCCCCCTTTTTAAGTCTATTTATTTATTTTGAGAGAGAGAGTGCACAAGAGGAGGAGGAGGGGAGAGAGAGAGAGAGAGAGAGAGAGAGAGAGAGAGAGAGAGAGAGAGAGAATCCCAAGCAGGGTCCAGCACAGAGCCCGAATTCAAGTTCAGCACAGAATTCGTGAACTCAAGAACCGTGAGATCATGACCTGAGCTGAAAGCAAGAGTCAGATGCTTAACCGACTGAGCCACCACCCAGGCACCCCAAGAATCCATTCTTTAGAATTGATTCAAATCCTAACTCTGGCACATATTAGCTATGTGGCTTGTACATGTTGCCTATTTTTTCTTAAGTCTTAAATGTTTCTTTCTTAGAATGAGAGTTGTGAAAATTAAATGAGATGATATAAGCAAGACATTTAACAAGTGCCTAGCACTTAGTATGCACTTGATAAAGGCATGCTGAACTCCAGGGGATCCAGAAGTATAAGGCCAGGCCTAGCCCAGGGCAGTGATCTTTAAGAGACCCTTCCTCTGAGTTTTTGTATGGATGGGCAGTGATGCAGTCTGTTTACAAGGAGATTATAATCTCATTTGGAGAGTGGAATTACATCCACATTTAATTTTCAGAGAACTGTGAAGGTAAATTAACCACACCCAATAGTAAGATATAGGGGTAGGGAAGAGAAGATAATTCAGAGAAGACCTCTGGGGAGAGGGGGGGCTTGGAAGTTGAGAAGGATTTGGGATTCTGGAGGGGAGGAAAGAGTATGATCGAATGCCTGGAGATCATATTGAGAATGACTTATTTGGGAGACATGATTCAGTATATCATACCTGAGGGATGTATTTGTGTGTAAGAATGAATGTATGTGAGTCTGGTGGAAAGGAAAGGTGGGGCTAGTTCTATGAAAGGAAGTAGGAGGTGACATAAGTGACCTTTGTGGGGTTAGAGTACGAGGGTCTTAACCTCAGGCTTGAGGAATTTGGGACTGATCAGGGTTGGGCAAGTTGGGTTGGATATCATGATAGCCCTCAGCCACATGTAGCTATTTAAATGTAAGTTAAAAAAAAAATCTAAGAAATTTAGGTTTTCTGTCACACTAGCTACATTTTGGATGCTTGATTGTCACATGGTGGCTACATTATTGGACAACATAGGTGTACAACCCTTCCATCATTGTAAAAAATTCTACTGGACATCACTGTTCTACATTCTCAGATTGCTGGGCTTGCATGGCCTATCAGATCACTTCGTTCCTTAAGATATAACTAGATTTTTTTTTCCTGACTAATCCCGACAACTCTGGAATGAAAAGTAGGGAGTTGGAAAATAGAGAATTAGGATTTACCCACATAGATGTGAGGATGGGATTGCCCAAGGAGAGGAGCAAAGGATGGCTTAAGAGGAGCCAGAGCAGAGGAAAGAGAAGGAAGTCCAGAGAACCTGGATAGGATTATTGTCTGGTCATTTACTTGCAAGTATGTACTGTGTTCTTGTATGTCAAGTATTAAGTGCTGGTGATATATTGGTAAGCAAAAAATGGACTTGACTTCTGCTGTTTTAGAGCTTGCACTTTATGGAGTTTCAGTGTATGGACTATATTGAGATTCAGGAGCACCTATCATTATGCATTCCCCATATTCTAAAATGCTTCATTCCTAGAAAATGGATCTGAAGACTAAAATGGGCTAAAAAGTTGGTCAAGGTTAGTTGCATAAGCATTGTGGAGTCACAGCTTTAGCTTCTCAAGAATTTGTAAATAGAAACATCATAACTTGAGAACTTTGACAAGAATGAGTGTGTGTGGAGGGCAGGAGGGGTAGTTTCTATTATCCTGCAACAGCCAGCCATGCTCTCAGCTGCCCATCAGATTCCTTCCTGTCCCTGCTCTCAAACTGTGCTCTCTTCACATTTCTTTTGTTATTACTGTGAGTTGTCAGTCACCACGTGACTACTTTCTCAAAGCCTGATGAAGACATACTTCATTTCTCAGTCCACTTCCTGCTCATTTATCAGTTTCCAGTAAGTGCAAACAGATGTGCCTCTGAATACATAGCATTTAAAATGGAACGTGCCTATAGCACCATCATCACTTGAGGCTCCGGGTTGAGGATTTTAGGTTTATAACTGACTCTTCATGCCTTGCATCCACCCCTTCACAAAGACCTGCTGAACTTTTGGACCTCACTCTTGTCCACATTATGTTGACTGCCTCCTGGCTAATCTCAGAGTCTCGACTTCTCCACTCCAGCCTGCCCACGCCCAGCTGTCGTTTCACTTTGCCATGCAGCTCATTAACCTGGCAGTTGTCTCTTCTTGATTGTCAGATCTAAACTTTTCAGCATAGTGTTCAATACCTTTGCCATTTTTGATGACTCTGGAGCAGCTCCCCTGGGTCAGCCAACAGGGTCTGCTTTCCACCCCTCACCCATGGCTTATTGCTGAAATATGCCTTGTCGCTTGTGCCTTTAAAAATGGAATATACCCTCTCACTTATTTTCCTTATCAGTCTTCTTGGCCTTTTCATTTGGGTGGTTTCCCAAACCTTTCCTGACTGATCCAATTTCTGTGACTTTGCACCTCCTCAGCAATCATTTGTTCGCCCTGCTTTGCATTATCCTTTGCAGATGGTAATGAAACTTTGACTTTCAAAAATCTTGTTTCTTTTCTCTTCCCTTTGGACACAAAGCTTGTGCAGAGCGCCTGATAAGTGCTGCCTTGCCTGTAGGGCACATTTCTCAAAGAGAGGGTATTAGAGGCTTGAGCAATAAGCTTCTGGAGTCGGGGGAGGTATCCCAAAGATCCTAGTCCTGTCCCTATCCATAGTTCCCTGCTCTACCTCTCTGGGTGATCTCATGCTCTCTTTGCCTCACCTCTGACATGTCGATGCCTCTCAAATACATACAGTCAGTCCATTCCTTCCCTGAGCTTTCTACCCATATATCCTACCTTGACCTGTGGATCTTTCACAGACAATGTAATCTAATTGTGTTTCAGTCTGAAAGCATCCCTTCTTCGTCTGCCATTTAACTTCAAATTATGTCTCCTTGTGTATTGCTCATTTTAGTCAATGGCTATTTCCAAATTCAAAGTCTTGGTTTGTGTCTCCCTCTACTCCTTTGTCATTCCCAAATACACTCAAGTAGTTAAATCTACCTTCACAGTTTCTTCTGGATCTTCTTCCTCTCCATTGTCTTTGTTCAGGCCTTTGTTCAGGCCTCGTCTCTTTCCCAAATTTCTTGGCTCTTTCCCTTCTACTGATACTCTCCATGGCCATACAGGTTGTTTTCAAAAGAAAACTGGCACCTTCTCTATTGTGCAGGTTGTGTATAGCACAAAGGTGCCACATTCACTCTTTAGATGTTGTAGGTTTGTGTATTTATTATGACAATCTTCTGGTAGATGGCAGTAAAATGTATTGTTCTAATATTGGTATGTTATGATGATTAAAGAAAGGAAAAACATTTTTTTAAATGTTTTATTTATTTTTGAGAGGGGGCAGAGAGAGAGGGCAGAGGGGCTCCAAAGCAGGCTCTCTGGGTGTGTGTGCTGATAGTGGAGATCCAGATGTAGGGCTCGAACTTACGAACCCACAAGGGCTCAGGCCAAAGTCAGATGCTTAGCTGACGGAGCCACCCAGGTACCCCAAGGAAAGGAAACCTTCTAATCTGCATAAAGATGCCTCTGGACTGAAGAACATCCTCTGTTCTGATGTCCTTAATTCTCTGCCAGGCAAACTCCTTCTCATGCCTTGAAAACTCAGCATAAATATCCCTTCCTCGTTAAGCCATTTTTGATACTCTCCACAAGAGTGGTTGTTTCTTTCCCTGGGCAAATGCCATATTTGGTTACTCCCTTATAATGCTTATCACATCATATTGTAATAATTGACATATGAGTCTATCTACCCCACTATACTCCAGGCCTCTCAAGGATAGAGACAATGTTTGATTATTCTTTTATCATCACCATGTAGCCTAATGGCCAGCACATAGAGTATATCAGTAAACATAAATATTTGCTTCGCATGATTTAGGCACAGAGGTAAGTACATACATTATCTTATTTAATTCTCACTACAGCCTCATGAGTCCTGTCATTATCACGTTTTACAAGTGAGAAAATTGAGACCTAGGTGAAGTCACTGGCCTCAAGATGAATAGCTGGTAGCTGGCATGTGTGGTGGTGCTGGGGTGTGCTAATTTTTCCAGTGATTCTCTTCTGTTTTGTTTCTCAGAGTAATGATGCGGGTGTGCTGGTTGGTGAGACAGGATAGCCGGCACCAGCGAATCAGACTTCCACATTTGGAGGCAGTGGTGGTTGGGCGTGGCCCAGAGACCAAGATCATTGACAAGAAATGTTCTCGACAGCAAGGTAATTGGTCATAGCAATGTGCAGTACTGTGTTTTGTTCCTTAGGATAATGATAACCAAGGATGCACATTTCCTGGAAGCTATTGATAGAAACCTTTTGTCTGCCATAAACAAAACTCAGGAACTGAGCTCTCTTAGCCAACATCAGGGCCCCATTCACCCCTGATTCCACCCTCTGGAAGCGGTTAATATTCAGTGTTGGGAGCAGGCAGGTTCCATCCTGTTAGTATGGTGGAACTGAATCCCGCACCCTACTTTGCCGGGGGAGAGTCCTCATTGGGCAGTGAGACAGTTGCATTCTGGGATCTCCAGCCTGAAACCATGTCTGAGAAGTGATGGGATACTTCCATCCTTTATATAATGCCTCACACGGAGGGTGTCGTCTTTATAAGACTATGGCATCCAGCTCTTGAGATGTCTTTCCTGGGATTTAATGAAATGAAGGTCCTTAGGAAAAAGCTGTACCGTGAACTTATTTGTTCCATGTAAACTCTTGATCTGCTCACTGCAACCAGGCCTTCCGCCTGCAGTGTGTTCCTGAGAACAGGGTTTCCCAGTGCTTGGAGTCTGCAATAGTGATTTTGGTTTTTCCCGCAAGAGTTAAATCTAAGTGGGGGGTGGGGGGAAAGCCATGCTTGAGCTGGCTGGGTCCAAGACAGAAGGAGACACTGCTTCTCACTCTCTGTCCCCTTCTCACAACAGCAACTGGAGCGATGTATATGTTAGCCTGTCTACTGCCTGTCCTCCCTGAAGAGCAGCTGTGGTGTCTCTGCACCTTGTCTCACAAGTGTTTGATGTTACTTCTTCCCACATATGCTCAGACTGTTCTGTTCCTGCAGTCCTCTTTCTAGAATATTCTCTGCACTCTGCCTACCCAAGGCCAGCTGAACTTCTGTTTTCCAATAATGTATCTTTTGCCTTTCTTTATTGAAGGCCTCTGATAGTTTTATTAAATAATGGAAGCCGGATTTAACAATGAGCCAAGAGCTTATGAAACAACTGGGTCCCTTCCCTGACTGCAGAGTCTGTGATCCTGAGTGGGCCAAGGACTCTGGAATAGGGATTGTGGGGATTCTGTAAACCTGCCTCATAGGAATGTTAGCAGTAGCTAAAGGAGTATGTATACTGTTGGAAATTTTATGGAAGGATTTGGAGCCCAGCCACTTCCATAATAGGCGATTTTGCTCATGGGCCTTTGAGGAAACCCCTGTCAAGTTGCCTCCTGGAATGAGGCTTCATTGTCCTGTAGGAAGAACAGGAGCATGTGCTTGCTTCTTGGTGGCCTTTAGATTGAACTTTTTTCAATCTCTTTCAGTACAGTTGAAAGCAGAGTGTAACAAAGGATATGTCAAGGTAAAGCAGGTATGTGTGTTTCTAATTTGGATTTCCATTTTATACTTGATGATTTTCTTATGCTGTCTGTACCAACCTGTGAAAGCTTCTCTGTCATGTGTGGAAGTGATGGGGTAATAGAAGTGAACATTAAGCATGGTATCTGGCACACAGTAAGTGGTTAGCATAGCAGTGGCTATGGTATTATTGCTAGCATTGTAATTATTTTCTGATTTTTCTATAGGTAGGGGTCAATCCCACCAGCATTGATTCAGTCATAATTGGGAAGGACCAAGAGGTGAAGCTGCAGCCTGGCCAGGTTCTCCACATGGTGAATGAACTTTATCCATATATTGTAGAGTTTGAGGAAGAGGCAGAGAGCCCTGGCCTGGAAACACACAGGAAGAGAAAGAGGTCAGGCAACAATGATTCTATAGAAAGGGGTGCTGCCCAGGAAGCTGACTCCCATACAGGACTGGAACCTGGGAGTGACCCTGGCCAATGCTCTGTGCCCTCAAAGAAGGAGAAAGATGCATCTACCAAAAAGGTGAGGGTGGAGTGCCTGATAGATGACATGGAGATTAAATGAGATATAATGACTGCTTGATTGTTTTGTACACTGTAAAGCTCAAATACTCGTAAGGGGTTATTAACCATGACAAGGGTTATTAACCATGATGAAAGAGTCACTTGTTTGTGTCACCAATCACTTGGGTGAATGTCCCTTTATGTACATTTTTCTTGAAGTCCTGAGGTAAGCCACCCGAAGGTAGGGAGGTAATGGCGGTGTACTGCTAAAGTGGGTCAGTCATATGTGTATCTGCAGAGGGTTAGCATTGGAACGCTGTTCATAGATCATCTGATTCACATCCTGTTGTCAAAGTGGAAATGTAGTTAAGCTGTAGATGGAGTGCGAGAGGGCAAAGAAGATGCAGTTCACACTCTGGCATTTCCAGCTTTCATCTAGACACACAGCTCTCACTACTGTATAGGAAGAAAATGGAAATGGTTTATGGTTATAAAGGGAAAAGATTGAGTAAAGGGGATATAGTTGAGTTCTTTTTTTTTTTTTGAATGTTTATTTTCGAGAGAGAGAGTGAGAGTGAGCAGGCGCGGGCAGGGGAGGGGCAGAGAGAGGACAGGATCCAAAATGGGCTCTGTGCTGATAGCAGAGAGCCCGATGTGGGGCTTGAATTCACGAACCGTGAGATTATGACCTGAGCTGAAGTCGGACACTTGACCGACTGAGCTACCTAGGTGCCCCAGATACAGTTTAAATCTTAAAAATGAATTTTATTACTTGGGATGCCTGAGTGGCTCAGTCAGTTAAGTGTCTGACTTCAGCTCAGGTCATGATCTCACAGTTCGTGGGTTCAAGCCCCACATCGGGCTCTGTGCTGACAGCTCAGAGCCTGGAGCCTGTTTTGGTTCTGTGTCTCCCTCTCTCTCTGCCCCTCCCCCACTCGTGCTCTGTCTCAAAAAGAAATAAACATTAAATAAATAAATTCAGTAACCCTTTGAGAGAGAGTTAAAAAAAAATGAATCATTACTAAGTTTGGTTGCACTTTGCTGACACATACAATATTAACTAATGCCAAATACAGCTACTGACATTTGCAATTTACATTGCCCCTTTTTGTTTCAGGAATCATTGGGCCACTGGAGTCAAGGCTTAAAAATTTCTATGCAGGATCCCAAAATGCAGGTCAGAATAAAATTTTGGCATTGAAATGTATTACATGTCTTTTAAGTGACTACTCCACAGAGTGAGGATAAATGAAAGCAAAGGAGATCAGTCCTTCTGAATGAGGTTTGTTTTATTGGTCTACTTGGTGAGAACAAGTGGCTTTTCCCAGTGTCAGTAAGTTAGCAACTGGAATTCTTTGGAGAGAAGCTAAGTTCTTCAAATGAAGATCTCCTCTTCCTTATTCCTCCTAAACTTCTGGGTGCTATTAAGGGAAGTTGAGTTAACCTTTGTGGGTTTTTTTTCACGGGAGTGTCAGGTAATGTATTGTGACTGCAGTTGCTGGGCTGCCCCGGGATTAATAGTCAGGTGTCATCCTGGGAGGAGTCTGTGAGTTCTTAAGTTACATTCTGTGGTGACATGGGGCCAGATCTGATAGGGCTTCTTGGAACACATGATTGTGTCACACGGTCTGCTGTGTTAGAGTGGAGAAGGGTGCCTTTGAATTTATGCCTGCAGGGATTTTACATCCAATCCTTAGGAACTATTTTGTACTGTGAATTTCGTGCGTATTCTCTGTAGTGTAGTGCTTGAAAACACAGGCTCTGGAGTCAACTAGATCTGGTTTGAAATCCTAGGCTTCCCACTTAGTAATGATGTGACTTTGTGCAAGACACTCATCTGAGTCTCTGCTGTCATCTGACAAAATTGGGATACTGACACCTTTTGCGTAAGATTGTGCTAGGAATGAAGTGAGTTAGTGAATGTGACAGTACCTGACACACAGAACATGTGTGGTAAATATCTGTTTCCTTCTCTTGTGCCCCTATCCTAGGTTTACAAAGATGAGCAGGTAGTGGTGATTAAGGATAAATACCCCAAGGCTCGTCACCACTGGCTGGTCTTACCATGGGCTTCCATTTCCAGTCTGAAGGCTGTGACCAGGGAACATCTTGAGCTCCTTAAACACATGCACACTGTGGGGGAAAAGATGATTACAGATTTTGCTGGGTCCAGCAAACTCCGCTTCCGATTGGGTTACCATGCCATTCCCAGCATGAGGTAAGTGTTGTGGGTAGTGCTAGTGTATTCTGGTTCTAAGTGGACAGATGGATTCAGCTTGGGTGTGCTGATAGTCTCAAGGCCAAGGGGAGTAGGGTGGGATGTTTCCAAGGAAAGTGGGCTGAAACTTCCACCCTTCTCCCTGATTTGCCTGTGACTTTTATTAGATTTTTCAGAAGCATCTATAACTCCTTAGTGATTAAGGACCATTGCTCTGGAGGAGACAAACATCACTGACTTTTGTCATGATAGCTCAGTAGATCTAAGATTTAAAATAAAATGAGAGAAAAATGCAGAACCTGTTCAAAGAACTCAACCAAGGCAGATCTCCATAGTTGTTGTTGTCGTCCTTTTTTTTTTTTAAATATTTATTTTTGAGAGAGAGACTGAGTGTGAGCAGGGAGGGGCAGAGAGAGAGGGAGATACAGAATCTGAAGTAGGCTCCAGGCTCTGAGCTGTAAGCACAGAGCCCAACATGGAGCTCAAACTCATGAACTCAAAGATCGTGATCTGAGTTGAAGTCGGACTTAACCAACCTGAGCCACCCAGGCACCCCTCCAGTTCTTCTGAGCTAAGCAACAAGATAAGCAGATTAATTGGATTTCGCAGTTTTTATCTTGTATTTGTTCATTTGTTTTTTCGTGATAAAATACACGTAACAAAGTTTACCACTTTAACCATTTTTTTAAAAAACTTTATTTAAATCCAAGTTAGCACAGTGTAATAATGACTTCAGGAGTAGGATTTTAACCATTTTTAAGTGTACAGTTTATTGGCATTAAGTATATTTACATTGTTGTGTAGTCATCACCATCATTTTTCTAGGACCTTTTTCATCTTCCCAAACTACCTCCCATTCCCCTCTACAGTCCCTGGTAGTTACCATTCTGCTTTCTGTTTCTAATAATTTGACTGCTCTAGGTGACTCATGGAAGTGGAATCCTACAGAAACTCTTTTTGTGATTAGCTTATTTCACTTAGAATAATGTCTTCAAAGTTCATGTATGTGGTAGCGTGTGTTAGAATTTGTTTTGGTTATTTTTTTTTTAACTACCTAACAACATTCTTCACGTTTTATTTAGATAATTATGACTTACATTATGGGTGACTTTAACCAAATGAAATTTTTGTGCCATATTTTTTCCCCATCAGTACTCTTCCTTTTTTTTATTTCTTTTTTAAAGTTTATTCATTTATTTTGAGAGAGGGTGAGAGAGCACATGAGTGAAGGAGGGGTAGAGAGAGACAGAGAGAGAGAATCCTAAGCAGCCCAAGCAGGCTCTGCACTGCCAGGACATGAACCACGATATCATGGCCTGAGTCAAAACCAAGAGTTAGACACTCAACCAACTGAGCCACCCAGGCGTCCCAGTACTCTTTCTTTAAAGTTGAGGCTTAGCTTACATACAACAAACTGCATCAGATTTATAGTTTGGTCAGTTTTGACAAACATATACGTCCTGTAACTATCACTCTGATTAAGATACAGAACATTTCTGTCATATCCCAGAAAGTTCCCTTGTGCTCCTTTCTAGTTAGTCCTTTCCTCAACCCTCGTGTTGTTCTGATTTCTTTCCACATAGGTTAGTTTTGCTTGTTCTAGAACTTCATATAAATGGAATCATATGATGTGTCTGACCTTTTTTAGTCAGCATTGTGATTTTGAGATTCATGTATATTGTCTTGTATATCATGGACATACTTCATGTTTTGCTCTTGGGTAAATACCTACAAGTGAAGTTGCTAGGTCTAAGGGTAGATGTATGTTGTACTCATTTAAAAAAATGCAGTTGACCCTTGAGGCGCCTGGGTGGCTCAGTCGGTTAAGTGTCCGACTTTGGCTCAGGTCATGATCTTGCGGTCGGTGAGTTTGAGCCCCGTGACAGGCTCTGTGCTGAGCCTGGAGCCTGCTTCAGGTTCTGTGTCTCCCTCTCCCTCTCTGCTCCTCCCCCGCTTATACTCTGTCTCTCTTTCTCTCTCTCTCTTTCAAAAATAAATAAACATTAAAAAAATGTTTTTAAAAATGCGGTTGACCCTTGAACAACACAGATTCGAATTGTGCAGGTCTACCTATATGCAGATTTTTTTTTTTTTAGTATAGTAAAATACTATAAAAGTATTTCTTTTTGTTGTGAGTTTCTTAATAATTTCTTTTCTCTGGCTTGCTTTAGTGTAGACTTCAGTATATAATACAACATACAAAATAATGTGTTAATGGACTGTTTATGTTATTGGTGAGGCTTCTGGTCAACAGTAGGATATTAGTAGTTAAGTTTTTGGGAAGCCAAATGTTACACTTTTGGATTTTTGATAGTGTGGGGGGTCAGTTCAAGGATCAACTGTATATGTTTAATAAGGTTTATTGTTAGAATCTTACTAAAAAATTTAGGACAAAAGTCACCCATAATCATAATTCTGTTTCTCCAGTGCTGTGCAGCCTGTGGCTAACAGAGCCCTTGACTGTAGAGCACTTTTCACATAGTAATCATGGTGTCCATACCTTTGTCATATAACAAATGCTGTTGCGCTAAGAATGCTAAAAAAAGCTATGGCAGGTGTGGGTGGGAAGCAAAATGAGCAGTAAGTAAAGTTGCTGCTTACATATCCTTTTAAGATCACTATAATTTTGAATAAACACTGTGGAAAGGAAAAGGTAACAAATTTTTTTACTGTAAAAAATTTAGAAAATATAAAAAATAAAGTATGAAGCAGAACAAAGATCTTCCATAACATCACCACTAATTAAGCCCTAGACCTTACTTGAATTTCCCTTTTTTTTTTTTATGTTTTTCTGCTCCAGGATGCAGTCCAGGATCCTGTGTTGCATTTATTTATTTATTGTCTTTCCTTAGTTTCGCCTAACCTGTGACACTTCCTCCTCCTTTCCTGGTTTTCATGACCCTGACACTTTTGATGAATACTGGTTGGTTTTATAGCATGTCTCTCATTTTGGGCTTGTCTGATACTTTTTCATGTTTAGGTTGAGGTTATACTTTTTTTCTTTTTTTTTTTTCTCCTCCTTTCAAAATACCAGAGATGATGTTGGGTCCCTCTAAGTGTATCATATCAAGGAGTGCATAATGCTGAGATGGCTTTTTACTCATGATATTAACCTTGATCACTTTGTTATGGTGATGTCTGACAGGGTTCTCTCTTGAGTTACTGTTTTCCCTTTGTAATTGATGAATATCCTGAATAGTTTGGAAGTGTGCTGCTATCCTGTTTGTCCTCAAACTTTTGCCCAGTGATTTTAGCATTTATTGGTAGGTCCTGCCTGCAACAGTTATTACTGTGGTGTTTATCTTGCTGATTCAGCTTATCATGTCGGGGTCACCAGTTGTGGGTTTGGCTTTTGGCTTTGTCCAGCAAAGCTGAGGACAGCAGAAAGAATTACTTAAGACTCCAAAAGTCAAGAGACGTGAAAGGGAGGCCAAGGGAAGGTACCCCAAGCTGCTCTCAAGCTCCCGTATTTATTAGACATACATTATAGGGGAATCACTGTGCAATACGAAAATTGGCACGTAGGTGCCAGTAAGGATGTCTAGAAAAGCGTGCAAAAAAACAAGGTATTCCCCAGACTGCAAAAGAGCAGATGCCGGAAAGCAGGGTGGTGAACAAGATAAGATATTCCATAGATAACATGGTCTAAGGAATTCATAAGCACACGCAACCCTAAATACACGTTAACTAGATACTGGTCAGCTGTTTTCAGCAGAGCCAGAAAGCAGTGTAATACATTCCCTATAATCTCCTTAAGCAGGACAGAGCTATTTGATTTCCCACATTACCTAATGGTGCTTTTATGTTTCCGTCATTCTCTTTAATTTATTTATTAGAATTCTTCTGTATGGAAGAGCTGTCCTTTCTCCCCCATTATGTCTATTCAGTTATTTATCAGTAAGGACTCGTGGGTGTTTATTTTATTCTATAGGTTTTAATTTGTCATTCATTTTATTTCTCAAATTGTTCTGGCTTTGGTCCTTGGAAGCTCCTTTACATTGGGTCCTGTATCATTTTGATATGGCCCTAACATTTTTTGAGCACTTCTTTATTTTCTGGAGCAAGATGTTCCAGGTTCATCTTATATTTTTTTTCTGTTCTAGCCCTGGAAGGAACCTTTTATTTTATTTAGTTCTTTTATTGGATAATGATATTTATAAACCAAGACGTGCATACTAAGTTTCTATATTGAGAGAAGTGGTTGATTCCAGAGTGTCTTTGCTCCTAGGTCCTCTAAGCAGATAGAGCCTGGAAATACATGCATGAATCCTAACCCACACAGACATTCTCTCTCTTTCTTTCTTTCTTTCTTTCTTTCTTTCTTTCTTTCTTTCTTTCTTTCTTTCTTTCT